CCAGAGGGACATTCTATAACCTTGGCCGTTAACACCTTAGCACGACCGGATGCAGATTAAGAACTAGACGACCCTTCGTAGTAAACAGCACACAGTGGATATTATCATGATTGTAAAGGCTGCGACCTAAGAACTGATTGCTCTTCGAAGTTACTTAAGGTTTGTGTTGAGTTCGTTAATATCCCCTTCTGCTTTCTATATTGGCCCAATTATATATATCTCCAGCTAATGTCCTTTCATTATCTTTTCTTTTATAGGTTTTGCTAACGTTGTTTTTATTATTATCATTATTATTATTATTTTTTTTCATTTTTCTTACTTTCGCACCAAAATTTACAATAATACAATTTTTTATTCTTTGGAAATTCAATACCGCTTTAATTTTTCTTCTAGATCCAGCCTTTAGATTTTTGCTTTTGTATCATCATCAAACGTGTGGCTCTCAATGTAGTTCTATCCTGAGCCAGTCTCATCATGGACAGTAGTCGGGGGTTGAAGTGATGACAAAGTAGAGACCCCAAGATATTTTTCTTAATTACCTAAGGGCTGTATGGTTTTATTGTACAGAATGAGTAGTAATGATCGTTTGTGCGCATTTTGTAGAAGTTAGGTGGGACTATCTAACCCCATGCACGATCTTCCCACTCTGCCTGGATGCAGTTTAACGTCATACCCAGAAGTTCGTATGTATAACCATACAAAAATAGGGAAATCTGAAATTTAGGTTGTACAGTGTATTGAGAGATTATGTTACTTTTTTTTGCTTTATTAGATTGCCATTTTATGGGTATAATCAAAGTGATCAAATGTTTAATCGACGTCTAAATCTTCAAAATATTATTTCAAATATTTATGGCAATATGTGTCGATGGACACATTCATTCACGCACACACACACACATATATCGACGGCCACCTTCAGTCGATGTCGACTATAGCATTAGTGTCTCTACCCACTCTCGTATAGGTAGAGTCAATGCCTGGGCAAAAGAAGTGAGGAGCAAGCTGTTCCCCATGTAGTAGGATCCCTCTCACCACGTAGCTGATGGACCTAAAGGAACGGCATAGGCCGATATGGTTTGGCAACAGCGGCATTGCAGGAGTTTCCAGAACGAAGTCGCAAGCGACAATAAACTATCTTCAGGGCTCTGACTCCAGATTCTTCCTCGGGGTTGTCCCCCCAAAGCCTTTTCATCTTATAGATACCACAAGGTAGTGGATTGTTTTGTATAAGGTGAACTCCTAAAGCCTTTGACCATGCACGGACTGAACAACAAGGCGGCAGTCATGCATCACTATCGTGTGCAGGTAAGAATAACCCAAAATTTGCAAAACCGGGTATCCAAGGGTGGTACTGCCAAATAACCTCTCAGTAGTGAATTGACAGAGGCCTGCAGCTGTTGTTAAAAAAAATATATATATATATACATATACACGCACATATAATGATAGATACATACATATATGCATACACAAATATATATAGAGAGAGATAGATGAAGATATACAGTATATATGTATACATACACACAGACATATATATATATATATATGGGTGGGTGCTTTATGCTCAGGGTGATGTGAACCGATGGTATGGTAGCCTAGATAGTGTTAAGTGCTTGTATGCCTTCTTACTTGCAGCTGTCACTGCTGGCTAGCCTAGTATGAAAAAAGGAGCAGCTCCGCATAAGCCTCCCCTGCCAGTTCACAGCCTCTCCATCACAGACTTCTGCAGTGCCTCTTTGTGGTCACCCATGGAAACTGGGCACCTTGCGGTCCCAGGCTAAAGTGTGGGGGATCCCGGAGCAGAAGGCCCCAGAGGTATGGAACCATGGCCAACACGACCTGGCCCCACACCAACTCCTACCCATCAGGGTTAATGGGTGGGAGGTGGATCTTGCCAACCCTCCTCCTCCCAGGAAACTCACCACCAATGTCATGAATAAATGGATATGCTGGAGGAAGGGGTGCTGTCCCTCCTACCCAGCAAGTGAGGCGGGCTGTGGGTCCTGCTGGGAGGTTAGTTTGGATGCAAGTGGTATCAAAATGCCTGTGCCAGACCCACCCATCGGCAAGGAACCTCCTTCCCTAAATGAGGTTAGGATGGGGATTTCTAAGATGAAGGGTGGGAAAGCCACAGGCATATGTGATATCTTGTTTGAACTAATAAAGACTGGGGTGAACCTATGACATAGGGCTTGCATGCAGTCTTGCCATCTGGCAGTTTGGTTCCATTCCCCCTAACCTGTTGAGGGGTGTGGTCATCCCTTTCTGGAAGGAGAAAGGGGATAATTGAGACTGTAGTAACAACCATGGCATTACACCACTCAGTATACCAGGCAAGGTTTTCGCCCACATTCTTCTGAAACGGATCCATGACCAACCCACTAAGGCACCATAGACGGGGGCAGTCTGGATCCA